GCTACCCTTCATGCAAACTTGACCCATGTCAGCAAGCATAAGATCCTCCCTTAAAATAACCCAAGGAAGAAAGGGCTTGGAACAGGTGAACAATTTGTTTCCTTTGCTCTATCCTGCTTCCACAGCAGCCCCAGCAGAGCAGGTATGCCACAGTTCACCCAAGGGCATGAGGGCTGGTCAAAGGACTCTTGTATCCTTGTGATCTGGGCTTCTGTTCTTTTTTATGTAGCTGCTCAAGAGAAGGGCAAACAAGAATAGCTCTACTAGAATGACATAACCTAAACTCAGAAGGTATCTATTTTTCCTCATTCCTAACCCTTCCTTGGGACCTAACCCTTCCTTGGGACCTAACAAAACCCCAGGACAAGTCTGACAGCCCTATCTGTTCAGGCACCTAGAAATTAACACACTCCAAATTAGATGACACTTGAAAAATTTAGGTTTCGGTGGTTTGCATGTGAACTAATGAATCACCATCCAGAGGCAGCTGCGAGCTTCAGAGAACATGGTCACAGGGCTCCTGCTCCAGACTGCACTCTCTTTAGTTGGCATTGTTTCCTTTTTCACTATTAGCATGTCTTAAAAAGCATGCAACTCCCACAGTTTCTATAATCAAATACATAAGGGACACATGTTATACAAATAAATTGCATAAGTTAAAAGTCTGTTTCTCTATTTTGCTCCCACAAATTATTTTATTCAACATGAGAAGTCAGAGGAGTTGTCCAGAAAAACCTGAGAATAAAGGATCACACAATTTATTTTCACGCATAACTATAGGCCTGCATATTGTCTTTTTTTTCTTTAGAAAACTGATAACGAACTAACTGAAGCCTTTATGATAGATGTCAAGGAGCGGTTTTTAGACTGCCAACAAAAGTATCAGCAGAAGGAGAGCCCCTACTGCCAGTAGGTGTTCTTTCTGGTTTTGGCAAATACAAGTGGTATTCACCATTATCACGTCCCTGAAGAAGTGACAACTGCCACCTTCTTGACCTTCTTCATCACAAAGTGACTCCTCAGCCCAGAATGCTTCCAGTCACCACTCTTAAATGCCACCAATTTCAAACAGAACAGAACAGGACTGCAAGAAACTAAACAGCAGATAGAAGAGAAAAAATGGAGGCAGAACATACTATCAGTACATAAGCAGGGCCTTGGGTACTTTGTGTTTAGTTCCCAGTTATGTTGCAGAGCTGTGTGTAACCTACAACAGGTGATTTACACCTCTTTCTCCTCCTCTCCCTCCTACAGTATTCTTGAAGAGGAAACTCCTTAGCATCTGTGGAGCTTTACAAGCAAGGGGAAAGTTCTAGGCAGTGTGGAAGGAGCAGTGGAACAGGACAGCTTCTCCTCGTTTTGTGTCGCTCTGTTCTGAAGGATATGCACAATTTTTTTGGTTCTCTACTTTTCAGACTGCATCAAATGACCCAACTAACACCTTTTTTAATGGCCCACCACCCAGCTGCATTCCTTAGAAAGACGGATAAGAAGCAGACTATACTCTACTACTGACAGTGTAACCAAAATGATGATGAAATTGTTATGTATCTTAGTTTTCAGCATTGGGGTGATGGGATCGAATCAGTTAAC